GATAGGATTTTTACAGAAATAATCAAATTCAAATTAGGTCCTTAAGATGAGTCTGGTTCCAAAGTAACCCGTGTCCTTATAAAAAGTGGTTTTGTGTGTATGTGTGTGTATATCTGTGTTTGTGTGTGTGTCTGTATTTTACTAGGAATCAAACCCAAGGACTTCAGGAATGTTGGACAAATGCTCTACCTTAGCTTACCCAAGACAGAAATGTTGGCAGAGACATGCATAGAGGTAACGAGAAGGCAGCCAACCTCAAGCCAAGGAGAAAGGGTCTGGGATGGATCTTCCTTGACAGCCTTGCTGACACCTTGATCTTGGGACTATTGGCCTCCAGCCTATAGTCCATTTCTGTTAGTCACTTAGTTTGTGGTATCTGGCTACAGCATTCTTAGCAAATGAATACAAGGAAACTTTCAGTTGAATATTTTTACAGTAACATTTTTACAACTACATATGTTATTTGATATTATAGTCAGAACCCCTCTGTCCCAAACGTTTTAATTTTGAGATAAAATTTTAAATTCCATCTCAGGATTTTCCAATCTCTGCTTCCTAAATGTTGAAGGTGTTAAGGATATGCTACCACACCTGACCCACCTTGGCTTTTGGTGGAAAAAAAAAGAGAAATGACCTAAGAGAAGAAAAGGATACCAAGTATGACTATCATAGGAACTTTATCTTCTCTTATAAACGTACAAAGCCTCCAGCCCCCGGCCTGCTCTGCAGAAGCTGCCTCTGTTCACAAGTACTAATCCTGGATGTTCCAGCTGACGAAGCTGTGTAGGCCCTGTCAGGCCCAGTCACAGATGGTGTCTGGTGAGTGAAATGCAACCAGCGCCATCTCCCTTTGTTCAACACATGTGGCCCAGGCTTCAATAAATGCAGGCTGGATGGAGCTAGAACTCAGTGTTAAGAGTGGAACTCAAAAAACACAAAGCCCTAAATTCAATCCCCAGCACTGTGAAAATAGAAAACTATGCCAAACTACCAAGCAAATCAGAACAACAATCAAACGGTCCATCTAACCATCTCACTATACAAATTGGAAAGCCAAATAGTTCTGCAGGCCTGCTTGTGTGGGTCCACTGTTTAGGAGAGGGGTAGTGGGTGACCACCATCGAAGGAGCAGCAGAAAGTGCAGGCAAATAGTGTCAATCAACAAGTACCACTGAGCAGGGCCCAGCCTGTCCTGCAGAACCAGAGGCCACTGACTTCCCCTCCAGTAGGTAGCCAACCTTACTGAACCTGTGCACCTCTCACCTGAGCTATTAACATACCAGAAAGCTCTTCAAGGAAAGACAACTGAATTCAGAATCACAAGGTGAAAGAAGGAATAGAACACCAATATCCACCATGTACTTTGGCCTGCTGTGTTTTGAAACAGAATTTTCTCCAGCTCCTGGTTTCCTAAGGGCCCAGAGCAAAGGAAGAAAGCAAAGCAGAGCGCCTCTTCTGTGGGTCACACTGTAACTAGGGTAGAATACTGAACTTTTTCCATGTGCTCCCTTTACTAGGAGCAGTCACCCCCTAGTTTACCTGACCTGTCCCTTGCCTTCCAAGTGAAGTATGATCTTTCCTTATCAGGAGTTTGGTAATCAGTAAGAAGCTCATCTAGCCTGTCCATTGACAAATGGCAGAAACGGACGTGACTGGATTATCAGGGATAAGAAAAGCGGGAGGAAATAATGGTCTCTGTTCCTGAGACTACAGGCTAGGTGATTAGAATCAGTTGTGTTACTTGGCTACAACCTCCACCTGTGAGGTGATATCCACCAGTTTATCATCCCCAGTACACTGGTCCTGGGGTCTGAGCTCTGGGCCTGGGCGCTGTCCCTCAGCTCTTCAGCTCAAGGCTAGCACTCTACCACTTGAGCCACAGTGCCACTTCCAGCGTTTCCCGCTTATGTGGTGCTGAGGAATCAAACCCAGGGCCTCATGCATGTGAAGCAAGCACTCTACCACTGAGCCACCTTCCCAGCCCCTAGCTGGCTTTTTTTTTTTTTTTGAATAGTCACTTTGCCTCAACAACTTGTCTTTGGACCTTACGCTAAGTTAAGCACCTGAACTTGGGTCCTGTGATTAAGATTCTCTGGGAAGCTCAATTCAGGTGAGGTCATTTTGCCCAAAGGTTACCGGTACCAAGTGTTCAATGAGCTTGATAGAATGACATTTCTGTAGAGACCACTCAATTTTGTAGGGGTCCAGGAACTGGCGGCTCAAACCTGAAATCCTAGTTAATAAGGAGGCTGAGATCTGAGAATCATGGTTCAAAGTCAGTTAGGGCAGGAAAGTCTGTACGACTTTTCTCTCCAATTAACCAGTAAAAAGATAAGAGGTGTGGCTCAACTGGTAGAGTGCCAGCCTTGAGTGAAAAACCTAAAAGGCAGTTAGACCCTGAGTTCAAGCCCTGGGACTGGCACACAAAATAAAAAATTGAAGTTCCTGAGATAGCACCCACCCATTTTTCTCCTACCCAGATGGCCCCTAACCACTCCTGGATAAGATTAGCAGGCTTTTTGGAATAGAACAAGATGCCAAGTTCTTGGCCAAGTACACAGGGCACCAAAGGCAACAAACCATTGCTAAGGCAGCTGGGGAGGGAAGGCTTTGAGTGCTAGTCCTCACCTGCCTGGATCCAGCTGGCCTCATGTGACTTCGGGTCACATTAGTTACCCATTGTAAGGCTGGGTTCATCAACTGTAAAACAGCCGAACATGAAGAATGGAGAGCAAGGAAGGTCTTGTTAGGTCCTGCCCTCTAGTTCTCTCGCTAACTTGCAGTAGCTCCCGTGGTTGGTGGCTTGGGAAAGTCATATGGGGAAGGAGTTAACACTAAGATGGAAGGCCCTCCTAAAGGAGCCAGCTTTCCTCTGCGACCCTCAAAAGACCTCATGTTTTCTTTCCTCCTGGAGATTGTCACAGGGTGCATTTGGAGAGTGAGTGCTGCTGAGGACCAAGGGTCCTGACGTTTGAAGCAGTCTTCTGTGAGAAATTCTTACATACACCCACACCCCTGAGGTTGAGCAGGAACTGGTGGAAAACTGGAGGAAGTACAGCTGTTCCCTCTGAGGGACAGTGCGGGAAGGCAGGCCTAGGATGAGGGGGTGTTTCCCAGGCGGTGGGGTGTATGTGCGTGTGTGTGTCTGTGTGTCACACAGCATTCCTTTCACTTGAGGCATCTGAGCCCATGGAGCTGCAGTCTTCCCTGGGGAACATGACATAACTAAAGGCAGGAAGAGCCTCACAAAAACAGACCGGTGTCTGCACATCCCATCCTGTGTGCCAGACACCAAGGCTTGACTCCCTCCCCAGCTCCAGCCAGACAAACACTCCAAAGCCAGCAATCTGATAGGATGTTTTTATATTTACATGATACATTTTAACGCAATGGCTACATTGGTCAAACATATTAGAAACCATAAAAAAAAGTTAAGAACTAAAATATACATCATACACTTGTATATATATATTTTACACAGGTAAAAAGGCTTATTATAAAAAATCAATACAACAGGGTTTTTTGTTTTTTTTAGTATACAGGTAAAGAATGAATTATGCTTCAGGCACTTTAATTTGTTAATGTCAGCAAATAGCTTTGGGGTGTGTGTGTGTGTGTGTGTGTGTGTGTGTGTGTGTGTGTGTGTATGTGGGAAGCTTCTAAACAGAAAAATCTTTTGGTTAATGTTTTGTTACCACAGATACAAAAATAAAATCTGAATAATTTCTCTCAAATGATTGACATCAGTATGGCAAAGCTGACTGGGAAAATACGGCACACTGTTCAGCTTCAGTGTGGCGAAGAGAGACAGACGTATTTGTATTTACACAAATGTCCCCATGGCTGTCTTTGTGCCCTGAACCACTGCCTTCACAAAACCAAAGGATAGATACACAGAGTCAGATTCACTAGCATACACTCTTCAAGAGATGAAAACCAGCAAGGGGCTGAGGAAGACAGGATGAGTGACAGCTACATACAGGTGACCAACACAAAGGGACCCGTGTGTTCTTACTGAAATAAATAGGGGCGACGTAACTGAGGTCTGACGAAACATACATTAGTGTTGTGCTTTGCAGAGGGGACCTTAGAGAAAGGCCCCGAGGCGGTCCCTCAGGCAGGGGACAGTGGTCTCTCCACAGTAGGAGGCTGGCTGAGGGTCTGCTAGATGTTCTCCAGAAGGGGGTTCTCTTCCCTTCCACGGATCCCGACGCGCAGCTCTCTGCTCCTTTTCCACACTGGATAGCTCCAACCAGTCATTCTAACAAATGAAAACACCTACCAACTAAGTCATCAGCACACTGACTGGGGTATTTACACTGACGATCTGTCTCAAAGAAATAAAACACTCCTGACAAAGGTAAGCATGGCTAGCATTTTCCCAATGTGACTGGCAGGTTGGAAGAGTCCTTTCCTTGAACACTGAAGTCTTGAGTGCAATAAAGAAAGGGGACCGTGGGAAGTGAGGGGTGTGGGTAGGGGACTAGGCAAAGCCTCTCGCTGGCAATTACCATGGAAAGATCTGATTGTACTATGCTAGGTTACAGGTAACCCCTCTTCATCTTTCATTTTTGTTTGAGGGGAGGGGGAGGTATACTGGGGTTTGAGCTTAGAACTTTGCACTTGCTTGAGCCGCACACTTCCTGTCCCCCTCCTCCTTTTTTTTTTTTTTTTTTGCTCTGGTTATTTTTGAGATTAGGGTCTCACTTTTTGCCAAGACTGGGCTGGACCCTTGATCTTCCTATTTATACTTGTCACTTGAACTGGGGTAAAAGGTATGCACCACCATATCCAGCCTTTTTTTTTTTTGGTTGAGATCCAAGGAGGTTATCCTAAAAGTTGTTAGCCTAGTCTGGTTTGGAACATCGATTCCTCCTGATCTCAGCTTCTTATATTCTACACACTGGGGATGACAAGTATACATCGTTGAACCCAACTATTGGTTTAGATGTGTTCTCATGAACTTTTTTTGTCCAGGCTGATCTTGAACTGCAATCCTCCTGATCTCTGCCTCCTGAGTAAGCTAGGATTACAGGTGTGAGCCACCAGCACCTGGCTTCTTTCTTCATTAAGATTTGGCTATTCCTTACAATATATTAGAAAAATACTCTTTTCCAGCTAATTAGAAGCCTCCTACGTGGCAAGGCGACAGGCAGAATCAGTTGGCAACCTGACCCACTGTGCACCCAAGTGGCAAGGCTGGATGTAGAGTTGCAGGAGAAAGACACTTAGGCATTGGAAGGGTTTTTACATATGGCCTTGTTTTTTCCCAAGTATAAATGAAGAGTTTGATGATGTGAAATTGAGTCCAAAAGGAAAACCAGAAACATAAACCCACTGACAAAATGCAATCCACCACTCTTCAAATGGTGGGTTTAAATGTATCGCATTTAAAATCCTCCCTGGTTAATATAAAACTGTCACCGGGGTTAGGGAAGCTCGGATTGTGTTATTCACTACAACTTCAGTGCTTCTTAGCAAACATGGATTTGTGTCTGGATTACAAAAACAATGAGCAAAATTTCTTACTTCATCCATGTTATTCTAATATTGCTAAGTTGGTTTTTTTTTTTAAAGAAGTGGTGGCAACACAATTCTAGAAAGTTCTGTGTTACAGGGAAAAACTGAGGGGGTGGGGGGCTCCTAGAAACCTGGAATCCCCTTTCTAGCCCTGGTCCAAGAGATGCAATGCAGTTAAAGGAATTTTTCTTAATTCTCGTAAGTTAATCTGAAGTTAAGGCTCAATTCTCAGTCGTTTTGCAGGCGAGTATTTTGCATCAGTGAATAAGTTCAACAGATTTGGTGTGGTATGGGAATGACGACTAAAGATGGAAACCGCAGCTTACATGGTTAACTTAGCTGTAGAAAAGTTAAAGCGCTATTATTCTGTAGCACAAGATTGTTGACTAGCTCATCTCCTACACAAGGTAACTGGCTGCAGGTTAGACTACTGCTGTTGCAAGGGTTTTCTCCTTCTCCGACTTAACATTTGCTGCAGGAGCCTGGTGCTCGCTAGCAACAGGCAAGCTGAACCCAGAGAAAGTTTAAGTCTTCCGTGCTTTTGGAACACACCACCCACGACAATCTCCCCCACCCCAAACCCAATTCTAGTCGTTTGCACTGCAGACTTCTTTGAACTGGAAGAGGTGTGTGTGGGGGGGGGATTGGGTATGGGGAGGGGTGGGTGGGTGGGCGAGGAGAGACAGGAAATCAACACCTGGAGAAAAGACAGCGTGATTACAGGTTGGTAAGAATACAAGAGTCTCTGCGGAAGGTTCCTTTCCACCAGAACACTGTACGAGCTGTGGAGGGGTGTGTGTGGCCGACAACCGGGGCGCTGGGGAGTGGAGAGCCCACCGGGCAAGTTCCCCAGACTGGAATGAATGGTGACCAAGAAAAAGAGGCCTCAGTGGCTCCCCTTGCCCCTTCGGGTGAAAGGGAGCCGGGAAGAGGGTGTGTAAGAGACAACAAGTTCCCTGGAGGCTGAGGATGGAGATGGGGGGGGGGGTGGAAGGCAAGGGAGAAGGGAATGGGGGGGGGGGGGAGAAACTGAGTCAGGCGGCCGCTTTGTGCTTCCCGCCGCAGCACCTGCACATGACTCCGCAGTGGTGGCAGGCCCGGAGGGGCAGGTAACAGCACATACAGGGGGCCAAGAAAGACAAGGCAATGAGAGCCACCCACCGGAGGCAAAACTGCTCGTCGCTGGTATCGCACGAGCAAGGGTCTGTGTAGTCTCCCTCGGGGTCCGACATGCAGTGGTAGAGCATGCTGTGGGCGCACCACATGCAGCTCACCCGGCGGATGCAAGTTCTCACGGGGTCGGGCGCGTCCTGGCAGCGGCCCCGGCGGTTCTCCTCGTGGTTGAACATGTCCCTGCAGTACACGCAGCGCGAGCGCTCGCCGTCCTCCTTGCGCCGCCGGCCCTTGCTCCCCCGCGGCGGCTGCGTCTTGATCACGCTGCCCCCGCGGCCCTTGGGGTCCTCGGCCAGGCCGAAGTCGGACGAGTCCACGTAGGGGTAGTTGTAGTCATGCTTGGGGCCCTCGCCCTTGGCGAAGTGCACGTACGAGTCGGCGTCCTCCGCAGGGTCCAGGTACTTGCCCCTCACCGGGGCGTGGCGGTAGTCCTCGTAGCCCGTCATCCAGATCTTCTCGCGGGGGTTGATGCGCACGACCTCCTCGTCGTCCTCCGGGAAGCTCACCTGCGGGTAGGGCCTGGGCATCCGCTGCCCCGGGGAGGAGGGGAAGCAGGCCGGGTGTTAACAGCTGCCATCCCTCAAAACACACATCTATCTCATCCAAACCTCCACCCCCAGACATTTCTGGCAGGAAGCTACCATTTCTTTAAAATGAGTTAGTGAATTAATTCATTATTAATAGTTGATGCCAGCACCCCCCCTTAGCTTTTTTCCCCTTCCCTCAAGGCTGCTAGCACTCTTTACCACGAGAACCACAGCTCCTAATTCTGGCTGTCTGCTTGTTAATTGGAGATCTAGGTAAGAATCTTGTGAAGTTGCTTTGCCCAGGCTGCCATCCTTAGAGCTCAGTCTCCTGAGCAGCTAGGATTACAGGCTCCAGCCAAGCAGTGTTTGCAGGCCCAGCCGGTAAGTGAGCCTTTACAGGATGATCGACAACTGTATTTGAATTTCTATCCATTACAGAGTCAGGAATCCAATTAAGTAGTTGAGCCCCGAATTTTCTCCCTTTCCTTGTGATGTGTCACCACACATGCAGGAAGTGAACAATAAGGATGCATGTGGATGCATATTCAGAAGCCCGGATGGAGACACAGCAAGATGTGGCCCCCACAATTCTCTCTTCCTACCTCCCCCAGGAAGGGCCCACCATAGTAGTGCATGCAATAGATGGACTTCTGACAGCCTCCTTTAGTTCTGCCCATTTTGGTACAGTATGCTCTATTGCACAATTGGCTGAGGCTTAAAAAAAAAAAGACTATGAATACTAGGGTTGCACTACCTGCTTTTTTCTGTTCTCTGAAACTTTTGTAATTTACTGTGCACACTGGGTCACAACATAAAATGCATTTTTGTATTTGGGGTCCTGTTCTCTAGAACAATAGGTGGTGCCAGAAAATGTAGCATAGGAACATACATAAGGTGCACCTTGTCATCTGGTTAAAATTTGATTTGAAAGAGATATGCAGATATGAAAAGGATCAACCAGAAGCTGAGTAGATTTGAATCCTGCTAGGATCCCTCAAATAGTGAGTACCTAGACCCGGTCATACTCACAAATTTTCACATTTAGGCTATACTATCCCTTAGGGTGTCTGCTCTGTAGTTAGTCTTACTATAGTTTACATACAACAGTATCTAGGCCAGATCAACAGGTACTAGAAAATAGTCATTCCATGTGTAACTTATACGTCTGCCATGGCCAGGCAAAGAATGAGATTCCCCACCTCTAAAGGCCTCTTGGCATGAGGGTGTTTCAGGAAGTAGGAACATGGCTTTGGAGTGACCCACTCCAGTCAAACATAAGACTACAGAATTTAGTGACTCTCTACCAAATGCTTGGAGGTTAGCTAAGCTCCTGGTCCACAGGATGCTTGATGTCGAATACTATCCATGTCAGTATATATTGCTCTAGAACTAACCCCACGGTAAGATATTTGCCCAGTACTTCCCATGAGATCAAGAGCTCTCTGAAGGGGAGGCCACATAATACTTAAAAAAATTTTTTTTATTATTACACATCATACATTTTGCTCTATTTCCTGCCAGACTCTCCCAATCACAGCTCCCCAGTCTTTGAAAAATCATCATCTGGAAGGATTTAAAACAAATCTTGGCTTTTTCTCATTTTTATTTTGTAGAAGGGAAGTTTAAAAAAAGTCACTGAGACCGTAATGTGATTTTTTTTAAAAAAGAACATCTTAATGTCAAAATATTAGGAAGCACACAATAAAATGATCTTTTAAGAAAGAATCAAACAAATCTAGCTTTATTTAGGTTTAAGAAGAATTCTCTGTTTCTCATCTGAAAGCAGTTTAGTAGCCATACAGGCACCAGTCCATGCCCCACAATTTGGGAACTTGTTCCATAAAACTGATGTTCAGTAAATATTTGTTGAATCATTGACTGCAGTTACATCTCCCTGAGCAAGACTGGCCTACAACCTCTGGTGTCAGGGGGCCCATGCCAAGCGTATAGCATTCATCAAGACCTAATGCTTTCACACTAAGCCCGAAGGCCCTTGGGACCAAGGAACACAGAGCTATCCTAGTACTCTGGGTGAGACCAGATGTGGACTTGAATCTCAGTCCCTCAGGTACTTCACGGCTCTCCATCCTCATCTATAACCCGGGGATGCCGACAAACCTGTCTCCGAAGTGATTTATAAGGGCTAATTTAAAGCATACAAAAGGTGTGGCAGGATATCTGGCTCAAGAAAATGTCAAGCAGGGCTGAACTGCCACCACCAACACCTTCATTGTGGGTAGGGTACAAATCAGGAGAGCCAAAGAAGACTAGGCTGAAGTATCAGGCCAAGAAGGAGGCCATTCTGAGGGGTAAGAAGGAGAGGATGCTGCTTACCTGGTCAAGGTGATAATGGTCTGTGGGGTATGGGTCCAGGGTATAAATCCTCCGGTGCTCACAGGATGTGGGAGAGGAGATTGTCCGAGTAGGTTGTTCCCGCTTCTGAGAGGAATTAGAAGAACTGTCTGTAGCCGTCTAGTTAATTAAAAAACAAACCATCATTAAAACATATACGGAACTCTCATATGCTCTACCTAAAATCCATCCACTCTTCAGTCATGGCCTCTTGCAGTTATCTTGAACTTGCCCTGGCCAGACAGCCACCTGACATGTCTCCACCGGTAGAAAAACCCAATCACCAGGCCCTGGAAAGGTGGGCTGGTTTTATCAGATGTGGAAGTGGCACCCCATTGCAGGGAAATGGCTCAATACACCAGTTCCCACCAGTGACTCCAGTGTGAATGAGGACAGTCACCTCATTTATGATCCTGACTGCCAGCTGCGATGGCAAGCAGGGGAGACGATGTGTGCACGTGAAAATAACACCAAAGTTTTTACATGTGAGGCCAATCGCAGCCTGGGATTTGTTTTCAGAGAGAATGACATCTCTGGGCTATCCTGAGTACTTGCTTTCTAGGATGAATTTTTGTAATCTCTTGAAGCTAGATGCAAATGCTAGAGGTGCTTTAATCTAGAAATGAGGTGGATGACTGCACAGGGGAATGAGGATCAGCTCTGTGGGAGGGGGTGGGGTGAATACAGATCTGGTTTTCTCTATCCCTCTAGCCTATTTGCATCCGTGGGGCTTATTAGGTAGCAATGTCGTCTGTGGCTACAGGAGGAGCTCATATAACCTACTGGCATAGGGTTGACCCCCACCCCCCATAACACAGTGCCTCTCATCAGTTGCTTTTCGTCTGAGAGTTTCAAACTCATATAGGAGTTGCTATTTTCCCCTTTAGTCTCCATAACTGGGAAAGACTGAACTGATAATTAAGACTTCTCATTTTCCTCAGTCTACCTTTTCTTAGGTCTTTGAAGTCAACTGCCTACTTTTACCATTGCAGACACATAACAACAAGCAAAGAACTTTTTCAATTTTTGGTGCTGGAGGTTGAACCTAGTTCTTGTGTGCATGCTAAGCAGCTGCTTACCACCAACTGAGATACACCCCCAACCCCAAACATCTCTGCACGGTGTTGTATTGAGTAAGTGCTAATAGTGTGCCAGGCCCTGAGTTGCACGATTCCTTCACATACACCATGTTGCTGTCTGTGAGGTGCGTGCACGCTTCTGCTTCCTACCCCATGTGGTGTTTAGTTGAGATGAACACATTACAGTTTTTCCAAGTAAGAAGGTAAACATCATACAAACCAGGACACAAAGAGATGGATGTTTCTCCCAATAACTACCAAGCTTTCTAAAGATTTCAATAAATAGCTTGTCAATGAGTAGATAAGGGCCCTTTCGTATGATTCAAACCTCAAGAGTTAAATCCGTGTCCAACATTCATATTATAGTCACCTATTATGTCAGCTGTCATCTTCCTATTCAACACTGTAGCACGCTCACTCCCAGAATCTAGTTCTCAGAAAGCCAGCTAACAGATTACGGTCCATCTCTGTGTTAGTCATCTGTTCACCCATATCCACCCTATTTTCTGTGACCCAAGCTCGGGTTAACAATGTGCAGAAAGTCGTTCTGAGAAACAAGGCACACCCAGTTTTCCTAGTATCCATTAGCCAGGCAGAATCCTCACTGTCCTAGGCACCATCCTCCCTCCCCAACCTGCATGAACTCAACCCACTGCACAGCCAAGAACAAAGCTCCCCAGATGTCTGTCAGTCATGTGAGACAGGCAAAGCCTTCCAGTATCTCCTAACCTAATATTGGATTTGCACCAAGGAGCAAGAACGTGGAGGACCTCCAGCAGGAGGCACAACTGAGGGTATACCCAGCCCAGCTTGCAGTGAACTCCAGGAGGAGGGCATGCAAGCAAGAGTGGCTCCATCCATTAGATCTATACTCCCAAGACAAACCTGGCTAAGACAGAGGTGACCTACAAACTAAAGGGATGTACTATCAGCCATCTTTTGTTGTTGTTGTTGTTGGTTATGGGGCTTGAACCCTGGGCCTGAGCTCTGTCCCTCAGCTCTTCAGAGCAAGGATAGCGCTCGACCACTTGAGCCACAGCACCACTTCCGGTTTGCTGGAGCCACAGCACCACTTCCGGTTTGCTGGTGATTAGTTGGAGTTAAGTCTTTCGGACTTTCCTGCCCGGGCTGGCTCTGAACTGCGATCATCAGATCTCAGCCTCCTGAGTAGCTAGGATTACAGGTGTGAGCCGCTGACCTGTCTTATCAGAGCATCTTAAGGAAGAGCAAGGGACAAGGTCTCCCTGTGAGCATTCAGCTCGCTCATTCAATTGGTGCTCTTGTAACCCTGCTGTGGTCTCTCTCCACAAAGCCATGGAAAAATACCACTTGTATGGTGTGCTCTGCATGAATTCACACAAGCGAGTCTTAAATATCCCTGGGATCTGTGTGTGTAAGCAAATGATACTTATCACTTCAGCAATCCACAGTGCCACTTTCAAATGTTAAGACATGGCTGGTAATCACACTTCCTCTGGCTGAGTTTGGCCAGCCTTACTCTTAAGGCTTTGAACTGAAGAACAAAAGCAAAGGCCCTCAGAGAGTACTCTGGGCTTAGAGCCTCAGGCTTCTAAGAGGAGTGGCTTTAGCAACAAGCTTCCCAGACAGAGCAAGGTCAGAGTCTGCCTGTTAATACAGAGCCTGCTCATTAGTGCTTCTGACTGTGGACAGAAAGGCTGGAATAGCTTTCTGGGGACAGTGGCCTCTTAGAAGGTCTTGTGTATCATGATCCAGTGGGCACTGGCCTTGCCACCTGCAACAGTAACCTCCGATCTTGCCTCTAAGGTTCACCCTGATGCAGTGACAATGCCTGTTTATTAAAAGGATGTTCAATTAGGAAGGGTACAGGCTAGGGCTGGAGGTAATCCAAGGCACTGGACAAGACAAACAAAAAATAGTAGGTTCTAGGCTCAGGCAGACTAGACTGGAATCATTCTGTTCATTACCAATGTTATCTTGGAAAGTTCATCTTTAACTAGTTTTCACATCTGCAAATGGGGCCAAAATCTTCTTTAAGGTTGATTAATGCAAAAGTGAAATGAGAGTTGGGTACTGGTAGCTCATGCCTGAGACCTAAGGACCAGAGTTGAAGCTAGCCTGGGTAGGAAAATCTGTGAGATTCTTATTTCTAATTAAGCAGCAAAAGGTCAGAAGTAGAGCTATGGCTCAAATGATAAAGCACCAGCCTTGATTTAGAAAAAAGAGGGGGAAGGGAGTAAGGGATGTAGAGATAGACTGATATGGATGTATAGATACCTACCTACCTACCACACACCTTCAAGCATTCTTATTCATTAGTGGTACCACATTTCTATTGCTGGATTTGTGTGTGTGTGTGTGTGTGTGTGTGTGTGTGAGTGTGTGAATGTGCATGCGTGCGTGTATGCACGCACACTAACTGGAGCCTGGGGTGGCTTTGAACATGATCCTTAGATCCCAGCCTCCTAAGTAGCTAGAATTACAGATGTGAGCCATTGGGGTCCAGGCTTTGTGATTGGCTCTATCTAACACTCTCTAACTGAGCTGAGACAAGACTTTGAGAGGGAAGAACACTGAAAGACTAGAGAATAAGAAGGACAGTTAAAGCCTGGATACTCTTCCAAGTTTACTAGAAAATTTCTAAAGAAGCACATACCTGCTAGGTGTCCTGGGCCTGAGGACAGGCTTCTTCATTATGAAGGTCAACTTGGACCCAGGAAAGCTCAAGGTGGAATGGTGAAGAAAACTAAGAGGTCAGACGAGCATATTAAATCATCCACCCTGGGATGGAATCCTGGCTGCTGACTACAGGCTTTTTAGGGCATTCAGGATGAGTCAGGACTATCCTCTGCAAAGTGACCTGTGTTTTCGGGACTGTGTGCATCCCTACAATGCCCTTGGGTTTCCTTCAAAATCTTTGCTTTTCAAAAAGGGCCTGGGACAGAGTAAGACAGCTGTAGCAGGTAGCTGAGCTGTGCCCCGGCTGCCAGGGATGATGTCTTTCTCCTCCTTCGTTAAGGGGGAAAGTGGAATGAACCCCTCATCCCTCCTCTAGAGAGGCGCACAAACAAGTGTGGTCATTTCAAAACCCTGTGTCCCAGGAACACAGCTGAAAAGAAAATCTCAAGGCACAAATAACCAAGCCCTCTCCACGTGGCTTGCATATGTACATATGCAGTGTATGTATGTATAGAGCTGTACAAACATACCCAGCTCCTGTTTTTATTTTATTTTATTGGAGGTAACATCTCCTGTGTAATCCAGAGAGGCCTGGAATGCACAATCCTCCTTGTCTCTGGCCCTCCAGAATGCTGAGATTAAAGGAGTGAACCACCAAGCCTGGCTGTGAATGGCCATTTTAGAAGGGCAATAAACCTACAGGCATAGAAAATAGAAGTTAAAGAAGTTGATTAAGGATGTAGGCCAAATTATGTAGGATTGTACAGAGCTGTTAAGTAACAATAGCACTGTACAGAGGGTACTAAAAGCCACCCTCAAATCCCTCCTGTAAAAATGAAGGAGATGTGACTGATAATCTAACATCTGTTTGATCTCATATACAACCCTTCTTTGTCCTAAAAACAGTACAGGTCAGAGAAGCCTGACCAAGCCTGACTTTTCTGTGGTTCAAGAGTGACAGGAGCCATTTGTAGTTTCAGCAGAATTTCTGTCCTGTCTGCAGAGACTGTTGATATTTTGACTTTTTTTTTTAAGGTAGGTAAACTACAAATTATAACCACATTTGCATTATTTTTGCTGCAATCTACCATCAAAATAGAGCTCAGCTTGACAGCTGACATAACCAAAGCAACATTTCATCACTGCAAGAGATTTTCACTTTATTGAAATATATCTGTACATGTTTCCCTTCTATCCCCCAACCCCTCACCTCCCAGTCTCATACTGGGGAGGTGCAAGTGACTTGGACAGACCCTTAGCCAATTCTCTCTCTCTGTGGGCACTGGAAGTTGTCAGCTATTTTTTTTTTTTTTTTGGTCGGTCATGGGGCTTGAACTCTGGGCCTGGGTGCTGTCCTTCAGCTCTTCAGCTTAAGGCTAGCAC